CATCCCACGACCTTCTCGACAAGCATGAGCAGCCAGATGTACTCCATCCCATAGCATAAATCATGTAAGTTACAAACCACAGTAGCAACACTTCATGTATCTGGTGTGTCGGGGTTCACCAAGCATTCAAGTATCCCCTTACGACACCCGTACATCTTGCCTCGATCATGGAGGCTTTGTCTGTATCTACTAAAAGGTTTACGAGCTAAGAGGCGCTGCGTGGTCGTTCGAGACCCAAGGTTGTTATTCTTATGGATAATGTTAAGGAGTTTCTGAGCTCAAAATGTGTTTCCCAAAACTGTGCCGCCATTACTGAGGAAAGATATACTGGTTTTGAAAGTGAATACTTGAAAGTCTGATGAATCGTGGCCATAAGCTCTCGACGAGGAACAGGGTAGGAGAGAATTGGCATCCGTTTGTAGTAGAAGTCTTGATGATTGACTGTTTTACACATTACTCGCCTTGAATAACTGGTTTGGTATTGAGGCCTAAGGCCTATGGACATTTATCAGGCCACTACAATAGCTTACTGATCAACCAGGAAGTTTAGAATTGGGCTTAAGGTCTATCAACCTCTGGAAGGTTAAGCCGCTACAATAGATTACTGACCAGTCAGCAAGTATACTTTGGTCTACAGTATAGTCAGGGGCTACAGTAAGCTCTCAGTGTATACACATCGGTAAACGGGGTACACCCATCAGTGCACATGTCACTAATCGACTCGGATAGTTCTCCACTGACATCTTATGTTGAAAATGAACCTCTGTCATCCGCCAAGCCGTGTAAACAAATACTCGTTAACCAAAAACACTGCTTCCGTGTCTCCACATATCTTAAAGCTGATTGTGTTCACTTTTATACAGAACATTGCTTCGCTAACGTGTTCTTTAGGAGCGTATAACTCTTAATTGTTCACCCACATGTTAATTTAATTTATAAATAATTACCAACTGAACCAAAACATCTAATCTAATATAGGTTTAACTATACACGTAATTGTAATATATACAAATATTAATTTATATGCGAAAAGATACATTTGGAATACACAGTACGACAAAAGTTGTGAAAGCACCTTTGTGAACAGCGTCAACATGGACGAAAATGGCTTGAGGATGATTTAACCTAACATCAGAGTACCTTCATAAACCTACAGACATAATCATTTACAACTCTGCCGCAGTGAAATAAAAACAATAATCAAATACAACGATGGTCTAAATATTGTATTAATAAATTATACAAGTTAGCATTATAGAGCGCTGTGGAGAATCCCTCCGACGTCGGGGTCCTGAAAAAAGTGTTCCAATTGTTCTGCCTTTCATCCGGCCCAAATGATAACCTGTTTGGACGCCTTCCTCATCCACACGTCTGCTACACTCCCAAGTCGCTGCCTGTGGGACATCCCTCCCCCCACCTGGATGTATACTGAGGTGCAAGTGTCACTATTCTAAGTTACTTTTAAATCTGTGTTCCGTGTTCTATTTTACAGAGTTGAATCTGTCATATGATTTTCTTTTAAACAATAATTTATTACAGTAACAATAATTGTAAAATTAAACGATAATAGGCAAGTGGGCAAGCCGGTTCTCTAGGGGCGTAGTTTAGCATAAGTTTAGCGAAAGGGGAGCAGGATTTTAGTTGTTAAATGCACTTCGTGCTAAGCATCACTAATGCAGCAACCACAGGCTGGCAAAACTGACCACATATTTCGACACGGTAAAAAAACATAAGCGTTCCACTAATAAAGTGACGCGTGTGTTAAGGAACCGGTTATCCGGTTGACAGGATTCAATTTCATTTTGTTCTTTATTATGTACCCCATACCCATCCCGTGGGGGGTGGTGGTAGTGGAAAGGGTTACAAAGGCACATAATGGGTTCAGGAACGGAATCCCATTGTTCGTTTAGCTAAGCAAGTGACAATCTTTTGAAACTAGTTACATAATTGTTAATGTTATATATACATGTACATGTATATACAATCATTTACACAAATACATGTACACATCGATACTCTTCTGTCTCACAAGTAATTCAAAAGGCTCACAACATTCACTATACATAGCACTTTATATCTATGGTGAGTCACACAGTTACTAGTCTTGCTCCACACCCACTCAACTGGACGGCAGCTTTACAGTCATGTGCTCCACACCCACTCAACTGGACGGCAGCTTTACAGTCATGCATGTATTACCTACAGTAAGCAAATTTTGGATACTTCGCTAAGATTCCTGGCAGTATAGCATTATGAAAGAAGTACTTATACATTTCTTGTACTCCATTGATAGTGTTATCTCTGAATTCCGCGATTTTTTCACATTCCATTATATAATGAAGCAAAGTATGCGAATAGTTCTGCTTACAGAGTTTACATTTTGTCAAATCTACATCAGCAGATGTTACAAACTCCCACAGGTACTTGTAGCCGAGCCTAAGCCTAGCAGTGGTAACATCTAGAAGTCTGCTAATCTTATTGGATGACCCATAGACGTGCGGTTCTTCCTGCATAATACAATGATGATAGATGGAGCAACTGGTGTGAATTAAAGAGATAAAAAGCTAATCTGATTCACTGGAAGCCAAATTTATTTTGGTTATGTTTTGTTTACAAAATGAGTCAGAGATAAGTAATTTTGAAAGTAATTGATATTAATGACATATTGTCTACTCAGCTTCATAAGACCAGGTGTACAGTGGTTCTCATCCACCACCACACTCCAGCAGTCATCCACATCTTTATAAGACCAGGTGTACAGTGGTTCTCATCCACCACCACACTCCAGCAGTCATCCACATCTTTATAAGACCAGGTGTACAGTGGTTCTCATCCGCCACCACACTCCAGCAGTCATCCACATCTTTATAAGACCAGGTGTACAGTGGTTCTCATCCGCCACCACACTCCAGCAGTCATCCACAGCTTTATAAGACCAGGTGTACAGTGGTTCTCATCCGCCACCACACTCCAGCAGTCATCCACAGCTTTATAAGACCAGGTGTACAGTGGTTCTCATCCGCCACCACACTCCAGCAGTCATCCACAGCTTTATAAGACCAGGTGTACAGTGGTTCTCATCCGCCACCACACTCCAGCAGTCATCCACAGCTTTATAAGACCAGGTGTACAGTGGTTCTCATCCACCACCACACTCCAGCAGTCATCCACAGCTTTATAAGACAAGGTGTACAGCCTGGTTGGTTGATACCTGGTTGATGGGGTTCTGGGAGTTCTTCTTCTACTCCCCAAGCCCGGCCCGAGGCCAGGCTCGACTTGTGAGAGTTTGGTCCACCAGGCTGTTGCTTGGAGCGGCCCGCAGGGCCACGTACCCTCCACAGCCCGGCTGTGGTGGGTACCACAGCCCAGTGGTTCTCATCCGCCACCACACTCCAGCAGTCATCCACAGCAGCACTTACAGTACATAAGACCAGTTGTACAGTACACTACTACACTCCACCAGCCAGCTACAGTGACAACCATAGCATCACAACACCAGGTGTACAGTGCTTCTCGGGCACTGTACCACCATCAATTTCTTTTACAGTACAGATACGTTTATTCCCTCGTTACTAACCACTTCCATTCGATCCAAGACAAGTTTTTAAATAGTTATTATGTGGTAGAACTCACAAGGTAGATAAAAATATTTAAAATAAATCTTTATTGAGAAATTTTATTCGTATAACTTCGTGCGAGAAAGAAGATTATTGAGTGAAATCGAATTTTTAAATCTAAATGTTTTAATCTAAATGAGTCATGAAATTAAATTTGATGTATCAGCAGTTTAAATTTATTAGGAATACTTATCTAATAGTTTAACATAATAGGCATAACGTAACCTAAGATGTATTAAATAGGGCTAAATTTTGCCAGGTTAGGCCTAGATTTTGCCAGGTTAGGCCTAGATTTCGTTAGATTGTTTTCATTTTCTTTCAGTTTTCTTTAACATTCCCTCTATTATTTCGTGGAATTTGGCTTCGTTCTCAACACATAATCGGATTTCCCGGATTCGATTCCGGAACGAGACAAAAATGGTTGGGCACATTTCCTTTCACCTACTGTGTTCACCTAGTTATAAATAGGTACTCGTAAGCTAGACACCTGTTGTGGGTTTGCATCCTGGGGAAAGGTCAGTAGTTCGACCTTGGGGAGTACCTCGATACCAGCCTAAGTATTATATAATAATTTTGATCCAAAACGGAGTTTTTAGTACTTATAAGTATAGCACAAACATGAGGATGATTTGGCTTGCTTTGTGGTTCGTGTTCTTGAGGTGAGCGTGAGGTGGAGTTGTGTAATTATCTATGTGATACTTATTGTAATATTTCTGAATATATGACTGACTTAGTGGCTCTGTTAACTAGAGGTATACCCAGCTTCACGGTGTGTATATACTCTGAGAGTTTATCTTAGTCCTGGGCTATGTTCACGACTGAAATATTCATGGTGTTTGGTAAGATTGGTATTGTGGTGGTCTTGATAACCATCCAGATTCCAGAGGTTAAAAGGTCTTTCACCCAACACCAACTCATTTTCTAGCCTTTCACCCAACACCAACTCATTTTCTAGCCTTTCACCCAACACTAACTCATTTTCTAGCCTTTCACCCAACACCAACTCATTTTCTAACCTTTCACCCAACACTAACTCATTTTCTAGCCTTTCACCCAACACTAACTCATTTAGAGTTCATTTAGCGGACTGTAAATAGGTATTTGCTTCTAAAGGCTCGAGTCATTAAAGTCGGTAATATCTAGTGTATTTTGATAATTTTGTAAATTTAGAATTATCTAAATTCAGTGTGGGTGATTCCCTCAGTTATCTAAGATGGTCAGCAAGTGGTACGAGTTGAAGACAGTACTTCAATAAAGGTTGTTGTGGTTCAGGGTAGTACTCCAGTATGGCTTGTGGTAAGAGTCGCGGACAGTACTGCAGTGAACAACTGCCAATTGTGTGTAAAGCGTTTGGGTCGTCTTTAATATCAAGGAAACTCTTGATGAATAACACACTTTATTCAAAAGCTCATCAAAGCATTGTCATCATACTTTGATGAGCAACCATTTTTCATTGTCGATTAAAATGAAAAAATTCTATATTTGTTTTTGTATTTTCATATATTCAATTACATATTAAGATTCTAAAAGTGATCTATGACTAGATTAGGAATAAGTTGGAGCTGGCTGGTAGGTGGGTGCTGGCTGGTAGGTGGGTGCTGGCTGGTAGGTGGGTGCTGGCTGGTAGGTGGGTGCGGGCTTGTAGCTGGGCTGCTGGGCTGGGTACTGGGCTTCTCCCTGGTACTCAACCTGAGCCAGGAAGCCAGAGTCACCGTTCACAGTGTAGGAAACCCTCTGCAGGCGACCGTCGGGAAGCTGGACGTAATAGGATCCCTGAGTGTCGTAGCCATTACGAGTTTCGTCGTGGCCGAAGTCGTTGCCGGAGTAGTCGTCCTTCACGGCCCAGTTGAAGTTGTACTGGGCAGGACCCTTGGAGTTCAAGACAAAATACATTAAAACACTCGAGTGCATTATATAAGATGGTGTATATGAGTTTATCTTAAGTTGTTATCGTTGCTTCTGGCCAGAGATATCTTATTACTGACACAAATCTAACCAGCAAAAATATACATGGCTTTGTAGGGTACAAATTATACTAAAGTGTTCAAGACAGAGTGTGTGGACGTACCACTGGTTCAGGAGCGTTGTAGGAGGGAACAGGAGGGTTGTAGGAAGGAGTTGGAGGGTTGTAAGTGGGAGGTGGAGGGCCGTAGGTGGGGAGTTTCTCTGCCGACGCCACGACCACCAGGACAACCGCGAAGAAAACCTGAAACCAAGAAGTTTTGTATTAGAATAACTTCCTTGATTATTAGAGTCCATTATGTGTGTTTCAGTCTAGCAAGAGTTCTTATCTACGGGAGGCGTTACCTTGTAGGCCATGTTGTTGGCTGAGGTGGAGGAGCGAGTGTGTTGTCCAGTGGCGACCGCAGGCCGCTTATATACCGGATCTTCACTCACCCAAAGTGTCGTGGCATCACTAGGTTTTGAAAGGGAAAGGAGAGACCTTGACACTGCCGCGAGAGGGAGTGACCACGGCAGCAACAACTGGTCCACCACCTCAGCGCTTGCCCCGGGGGTTGGGTAAGGCGGGGTTTGTGGGGGACGAGATGGGTGGGGCGGTGTACTGGGGGAGCGAGGTTATGACGGCGGTGGGAAAGTAGTGGAGGACGGGGAGGAGATGGAGAAACAGTTACGGTGGACGTGAAGCTTCTGGCAAGAAGGTTGGAGTTCATGTTCCAGTTGGCTGCCGGATGACTCTTCCAACACCTTCCTCCTGGGGATCTTCTAAGGCCTTAACTGCATTATAATTAGTGGCAAATTTTTCTGTGTGTCTGAGTTATATTTATGGAGGAAGAAGTATTAGACCACTTATATAGGAGGAAGTAAAATACAATAAATAAGTAAATTTGAACTATAGTCACAGTACTAAAGCAAAATATAACCAAAGAGGTATAATGTCAACTGTTAGAGAAGCCCAATCTAGGCTGGAAGTAGGCGACCCATAGCATCGGAGAAAATCACACACACAGCATTAGTGGGGATTTTTTAGGGTCTCCCATTGCATTTTCCCACTTTTTGTCCTGCCACCCATTTTCTTTACATGTTTTGTTTTGCGTTATTAGGTTTTTTTCTCTACGATTATCTTAGACCAGTGACAAGGTTCCTCTCCTCACCTTAGAAATGTTATTAACATTTTGCCCCGTCATGATCACAACCTCATCCCGGCCTTCAGAATCAAGACTCATCCAATATTAATTATTTTTAATGTCGATGAGATAAGACTATTTTGAGGCTGTGTGTAAGGACTGAACCTTAGTCCCTGGGAAAGCTCCACCAAGCATCTACTCAGTCACTCACAATCGACTTGAGAATGGTCCAGGACGGCCCGAAACGTCGTCGTCCCTTCACCTTCTAGTGTGTGGTCTGGTCAACCTCACGAAGTCTCTGCATCTCTCCTCAATCATGGTAACTCGTAACTCGTAAATGCTTGATTAAAACTCGAGTGTTTTAATGTATTTTGTCTTGAACTCCCAGGGTTCTGCCCAGTATAACTTCAACTGGGCCGTGAAGGACGACTATTCAACTGGGCCGTGAAGGACGACTACTCCGGCAACGACTTCAGCCACGACGAAACTCGTAATGGCTACGACACATGATAACTCTTTACATGTGTTAAACAGTTTACGAGCTCCGAAGATTGACTGATAAAGATTAAGCCACCCAAAAGGTGGCACGGGCATGAATAGCCCGTAAGTGGTGGCCCTTTTGATCCATTACCAGTATCAAGAACTGATACTGCTGATACTGGAGATCTGTGGAGGTGCGACTGCACCCTGCGTGACGGGAGATGTCTCCCGTGGAGCTCCGAAGGACTACGAGGCTTTTTATAATAATAATAACTTTGAGTTGGGAAGTTTCGAAGCGCGTAAATGGTTTAATTAATATAACAAAGTCACCAAGATTAACGAAAGAAGTACAGGTTTCGTAAGTGGTTGCGCAAATGCTTGATGAATTCTGGCCATGCGACGCGGGTTCGATCCCATTCCATAGCCTCAATATTCTCTCATAGACACACCATGTTGTTGTGGTTTCATTATGTGATGCTGAGATTTCTAGATCCAAAACAGGTAGTGTTCGCGTTTAAACAACTTATTCTCTAATTAGGTTGAAATTGAAATTGAAATAAGTTTATTGAGGTAAAATACACACAAAGGGATGAGGTAGCTCAAGCTATTTTCACCCCTTTCAGTACATCGTGTTAATACATACATAGACACACATCACAAGCAATAAACGTATTACCAAACATTCTGAGAGATAAACATATACAGGCAGGTCATCATATCTTTTATCTTTAGTGTGTGGTCTGGTCATCATACTTTAGTCACAATAACGTGGCTAAAGTATGTTGACCAGACCACACACTAGAATGTGAAGGGACGACGACGTTTCGGTCCGTCCTGGACCATTCTCAAGTCGATTGTCGATTCTCTAGTCGATTCTCAAGTTCTCACAATCGACTTGAGAATGGTCCAGGACGGCCCGAAACGTCGTCGTCCCTTTACATTCTAGTGTGTGGTCTGGTCATCGATAAACATATATATTTCCTGATTAGGTTCGTTTAGTGTGATCAAACTAGGCCCCGAGGGATCCTTAAGTCACTGATGGCTTGTTCGCTCACTGGATACAACGAATTTACTGTCAATTTATTGATGATATAAAGTACTTCTGCCCGTGATCTCTTCCCTCATACATTAACTCCACCCGTAATCACCCACTCCCAACCACTTGGGCTGCACGGTAGAGTAACGGCCTCGCTTCATGCAGGTCGGCGTTCAATCACCGATCGTCCAAGTGGTTGGGCACCATTCCTTGTAGGCAAGTAGCACAGGCTATGGTGAGCCCGTCCCATCCCAAATCCTTATCCTGACCCCCTCCAAGTGCTATACAGTCGTAATGGCTTGGCGCTTTCCCCTGATAATTACAAAATAATTAATTCTCAGGGGGGACTAAAGACTTCTAATGCTTCTAGTTACAAACTGAGGCTATGTAGGCTTAACGTTAGAACACAGGAATTAAGGAAACTGTAGAAGGCCTATTGGCCCATATACGTGGCAGTTCCTATTTATATCCACCCAAACTCATTTATGTTTAACTTACGCTTGAAACAATCTAACCCATACCTTCCCCCTCAGCGATTAACTCTCCCCAAAAGCGGACAACCCTTAACCCCAGGAACGGGTCTGAGCCCCGTGACGGAACTCTTGGAGGAGTTTATCTATTTCCTTCTCTGCAGCTCTGATGCTGGTGACAATAACCTGTTTAAACACCATTGTCTCCATTTCCCCATCAATAAGACCTTGCCTGGCCTCACCAGTCCCCCCCCCCCCACACACCACCCTTTCCTCTCTACCTCACCTAAATATATAATAAATTGTGTTATATTGTCTTTTAAGGAATCCACAGGGAAATAGCAGTTAGGTTATATAGACTACGTCTAGGTTACAGATGCAACTGGGGGATTGGTGAACCCCGACAGAGAGAGTGCATCTGCCAAACTGTCACAGAAAAGCCATTACTTCACTATCTTCTGGAATGTGAAGCAACCAATGACCTTAGAAGAGCTTTAAGAGTTCCTGAATCATGCAGTGGCCACCCTGAAGCCATCAACACAGCCACTCTCCTGGTCAACAAAGGTGTCCAGCAGCTGGACACCCTCATAAAGACTGTGAAGCAGTATCCTCCCCCACGATAACAGCTTGATGGTTAAATGCAACCTCAGAATACTGAGAAAAAAAATAAATTGTACCACTTACGGGCTATTCATGCCCGTGCCACCTCTTAGGTGGCTTAATCTTTATCAATCAATCAATCAATTGTCTTTTCTGGTCAAAAAAGGTGTCCAGCAGCTGGACACCCTCATAAAGACTGTCAAGCAGCATCCTTCCCCCGCGATAGCAGCCTGACGATTAAATGCGACCTCAGAACACTGAAAAGAATTACTGAACAAAAATTGTTAGCACTTACGGGCTATTCATGCCCGTGCCACTTCATGGGTGGCTTAATCTTTATAAATCAATCAATCATTGTCATCTCAGACTCTTCTATACGGCTTCAACATTTTCAAAGGTCATGTAGAACTGGACTGATTAATTTTTCTCACATTAATCGTAAAACAATAATTTCTCTAATTGGGAATAATGGCAAAGGTATAGATAACTAAGTTTAGCCGTTTCTGTTACGTTCTTGGGTTAAGGCTTGTTAACCTTTGGAGGGCTATTCAGGCCACCACAGTACCTTGCTGACCAATCAGGAAGTTTGGTGTCGGCCTTAAGACCTATCAACCTCTGAAGTTATTAAGACCACCACAATACCTTCCTGACCAGCCAACAAATATAGGTTACGTCTCAACATAGTTGAGGACTAAAGTGAAGTCTCCTTGCTAAGGCTGCAGTAAATAAAGACAGTGTTGAACGGAATTTTGAGTTATCAAATAGGTCCCTTAAAAGTGTCATTAGACGAGAACTCTTGGATGAATTTGAAGAAAGCAGAACAGTGCAAACTGGAACTAACAGGTTCATTGTTCATCACAATGAAATGTGTCGAGTAAAACATGTGTATGGTGCAAGTAACAAAGTAGACTAACAGATGTTGTCACAGCTCGTATAAGACTTGCCTACAAGTATCTCTGGCAGTTGGGCTTGTATAGGGATCTAGATGAAGTATGTTGACCAGACCACACACTAGAAGGTGAAGGAACGACGACGTTCCGGTCCGTCCTGGACCATTCTCAAGTCGATTGTCGACTTGAGAATGGTCCAGGACGCTAGATGAAGTAAAGTGTAAAGTGTGTGGACAAAGATAGGAACACACACTTGAGCATTATATCTTAGACTGTTGTAACATTGAACTATTTAGAGATAAATCTAAACTCACGTTGTATGAAATGGCAAACCATCTTATTACTAAGGATAAAATACCTGAAATCCTTGCACTGTATCCATGTTTCGCTTCCAGTAGATAAACGACATATGAGATTAAGAAGCAAGTAGTATATTGTGAAGACTAATAATACCACACAGCAGCTCTTCTATGACCCTGGAATATTTCCTTAGCTAAAACAATTATGTATTAGCGAAAAGACCTACCATTAATGTATAATGATTCACTATAAATACATAGGTATTTAAATGGAACAGGCTCTGAACTAGCTGATATTATAATATAAGGTGTGAAGGATAGATGAAATTGTTTATGTAATAATCTAAGATGAGGTCTGATAAAGACCTCATCTGTAATCTTTTTTGCGCTACCGCTCACAGAATGAGTATGGGGTGCACAACAAACTAGTCGTCTCCGGCGATAACAATCAAATCTCAGTGTATATGATGATATCACATTGTAT